TTATACTCAAACTCCTCTTAGAGGATTAAGGTTGGCTGCTGTGCACCCATGAGGATAAAAGTGCATACTACAAAAGTTTATGGTTTATTGGTTTCACATTTTGATTTTTCAGTTTCATGTTGCATGATGATACATTGTTACAGTGATGATGCTGTACTATAGCAGAACCCAATTTAAACATGTTGATGTGGAAAATGAGAAAATTGCACCAACCAGAAGTATGTGATTGACAATGTTAGAACCACGTTAGATGAACGCATAATCCCGATGGATCGGTTCTAGAATAATACGATGATGAATATGCAGTAATTAACATAAAATAACAAAGAACAAAAGACTTTTTAAAGTGATTCGACTGCTTATCATGTAAAACTTACGTCTACTATTATGTTATTGAATATGTAAAATAAGCGATCTACTTTGACAAGAGTTTCTAATGAGTTCTTTGCAATCTCTTTTCGCCGTCCCCCCAAAATAGATGATAATAGGATTTATATAGTGTCAGTTAAGTAATTGAGTTTGAAACTGAGATCCATATCACAAGATATTTACATACCAACCGAGGATTTATCTGTTATGTATTTCTTGCCCAACAAAACCAAAACACTTTTAAATTTTGTTTGATATAGCCATTGACTTGGTAGATCAAGTAGTAGTGAATTAAAAAAAAAATTGACATGCGCCACAAATTAAAGCTAGCTATTACACTAGTTGTAAAAATGTGTTCTTTTATAAGTTAGGTGAATGGTGTTGTTGCACTTTGCCTACTTCCACTCGTCCAGTTCTCTTGCCAATATTTAAATACAATTGTATTAAATTATTAATTGATTTTAGTTTCCTAATTCAATGATATTATATTATTATCCATACTTAAAGTTATTAGGAAAAGTATTTATTGATGGATAATAAAATTTATAGTAATGCTAGGTTTACAACTTAATCTCGTAACCTCCGATATGGTAGTTTGTTATTGGTTAGTTTACAAATGGGCAAACGAGATACATACAAGCAGGCGAGACCTATTTTGCGAACTAACTAATAACAAACTGTCACGTCGAAATTGTGAAAGAAGGTTATAAGATTGGATTGTGGATTTAGCATTATTCTCAAATTTATAATATAGAATTTTTATCTTATCACATATTCAATGTCTTAAACGAAACTACTAACAAATTCTTTAGAGTCCATCAGCCAACCACTGCCGACAAATTGCTTCTATTTGAGATGTGAACCTTAAACCAATATTGATAAATTCAGTTTCATAAAACATGAATTAGTAACATAAATAAAATATACCTAAGCAACAATGAAATCATCAAACCATTCAAGCCGCAGCATTACAGAATTAATAATAACAACAGAAATAATAATAATTTCACGTACAATTCGCAAACTTGTTGCATGAAAAATGAGTTTTATTGGATTTAACTTCCATCGACCAGTCGAGTGATTAATTAAAACTTTTGGGTATATAACTCAAGAGGTCTTGAATTTGATTTATTTCAATTGCTAATAAGGGTGACCATTGAAACTCTTACCCGGCTAGTGATTCCAAGTTCCTGAGGGATTAGTTGAGGTGTGTGCAAACTGCTCAAACCCCTCTAGTCATAAAAAAAGAAAAAAGAAAAAAAAGAATTTAAGGATTTAATAACAATTCACCTCCTCTTCTTCAAAATTAACCTTGCTCGTGGATGCCATGAAAATCATGAACAACTAAAAATCTAAAAACTAGAAAATATAATTAAGGGAGGCGTTTGGTTCAGGGAATATTCGATTACTGGAAAGTTAGATTATCTTAAAAATTATTGGGAATCTTTAGGAAAATGTGTTTAGTTAATTGGTGTGTATGATATATTAATATGTTTGGTTGGGAGGAATAAATTGATGGGTATGTTATTTAAATTACTGAATTGTCCTCTAATTAAATATTATTATTATATTATTTTTTAATATTGATTATTATTTGGATTATATAACCCCCCTCCATTTAAAAACTTAGTAAAAACAATCCCATAATAAAAGTTTGGAAAATCAACAAAGCACCCCCATCAACCCAGCCACTGTCGACCGGCAATCTAACGACGCATGGGAGACAGGAAATGGCCTCGTGCGCCGTATGGCCATTTTCGACCAGAGATCTGGCCAGAAATGGCAAGACGTGATAGATCTGGCTATTGACGGCCAGATCGATGGCCGTTAACGGCCATGTACCATCGATTTGGCCATCAACGGTTAGATTCGTCAATCTCGCAGTCAACGACCAGATCCGTCAATCTGGCAGTTAACGGCCATATCAACGCACGACGGCCATTTTCAGCATTCCGTGCGTCATTCCGACGGCAAGTGGGTAGGGGTGGTGGCTTGAGCAGGCTGCAATTTGTTTTAAATTTAAGGTTAATTTTATCCAAAAAGTTAATTAATTGAGGTGAAATAGTAAAAGACATATTCATGTAAATAAATTAAAAAATAAGGGTATTATTGTCCTAAAATTTTATTAATAAGAGATAGAATTATAACAAAAAAAGATTACCACGATAATCTTAGAATACCTAAGAAAATGGAGGTAATCAAATTATCTCTAATATTACCAACAGTAACTATTATTGGTATTTAAAAATTACCAAAATCTTATATTACTTGACAACTAAACGTGATAATAAAATAATATAAGATAATATAATTCTAGTAATCTCACGTTACTCCCAACCAAACGGGCCCTAAATGATATATTTATTAGGGGATTTCTTATGTTTTGGGATATTTATTAACGTGGGTAAAAGTTTGTCAATTAGTATATAAAGGGAATAAATTAAATTTGAAGCTTATGAAAGAAGAGACAAGAAATAAAGAAGAAAAGAACAAACAAGTGTCCATTGAATTAATAAAGACAGAAAATAAAAAAGTAAGAGACATCCTAACCATCCCAGAAAAGCAACACAAAGACAGAAAGAAAAGGAAGAGTAAAGCAAACAAAAACACAAAGCCAAAAGTACCTCCTCCTGATCCTGATCCTGATCCTGAACAAACTTGACTTTATTTTTCTCTCTAATTTTAATGTGCAATTCCCTTACGCAAACAATGGGATAGAAAAACAGAAACCGAAACTTACCCCATCAGGCCATCACCCTGATCCCTCAACCTGAAAAAAAATAAAATAATACAATAAAGGCATAAAGATTGAAAGAAAATTTACACAAAGTCTGAAGAAAATTCTGATAAGCCAGCTGCTTTCTGCAGACTCTCTGCAAAGTCTCCTATTTCTCTCATCGTTTCTTGTTTCAATGCCCCGCTGACCCTGCTTCTCTCTTCATCATTCATTGCCAGCTATCTACCATTCAAATTCAAAGCATGCAAGTTTTTTATATTTTAAGTTTTTAAACAGATGAATTTCTCCAGGACTCTTTTTCTTAGCCATTATTATTACACATGGAGTAAACGACATGTTTCCCACCCAAGGTAATGCGAAATGGCAAGTTCCCACCCTTGTTTCATAAGTTTCAGATTCCATCCTTAAATTAACAGAATATTGATTAATATGTCAGTCAAAGGTTAAAAGGTCATTCCCAATTAAACATTCAAACTGAAAATGAGCAGCCACTAGATCTACCCCATACAGCCAAAAACCACCGCTAATTACAAACACTTCCTAACCCAATCAATAATCTATTAAACAATTTAATCACATAATACAAATTACCTACTATCAATCAGTCATCAAAGAAAACAAGAGAGAAAAGAAAAATTGGGAGGAAAGAAAAAAAAGAGAGAAATCCACCGTTCAAAGGACAATTGCTTGGGAATTTTTACAAACAGGTGGAGTGCAAAAATTTACAAAGCTTCGATCGTCCTCCCCAAAATTCCATCAATCCCAGAAAACAAACTCAAAACACTTCTTAACCGATCCCAAACGACTTTCAAACAACACACAAACAATCTCCTTTCAAAATCTCAGCAAAAAAACTCCAATCAACACCAATCTCGCCGAAAAAGCACAGCACAAACGGATGGCAGATTCGCGCCGATAGGCGCCGGATCGTGAAGCGACTAAACTCCAAAAATCCGGCCACCAGTGGCAATTTAAAATTTGTTAACAGTGTTATTTTTAAGGTGGGAATTTAAAATTTATGAAACCACGGGTGGCAAGTTGACATTTCGCTTTACCTTTAGTGGGAACATGCCGTTTGCTCTTATTACATCAGGAAAGACATTTTGCGTCACTTAATGAAAAGCATTTAGACTTCATAAAAGTGGCTTATCTTTGTGGTTGTTGGCTCAACACTGTTTTAAATGCATCAGTAACCAACTTTACCCATTTGACACAATCCATTTCTTTTCTATTTTAACAACTTTCGCTAATAGTATTTCTTGAATCCCTAGTATTATTAGTTCTGGGATAACTTCATTTAGTAGTAAAAATTGGTTATGAGTTAATCACCTCGTTAAAATGAGCTTTTAAATTGTCCTCCTAGACATTAATAGGGGTGGATACAAAAGTTTTTATTTCACCGACAGTTTCAAGACCCAGAAGATAAATTATAGTGCGTATAAATTAACTCATATACCTAAACACTAATAAAGGGGTGACCACGGGAGCTTTTAATTGGCCAACAATTCCAAGACCCAAATGATTAGTTACGATGTACATAAATTCGTCTGAACACTCAAGTACTAATGGGGTAGTTATTAAGACTCTTATCTAACTGACATTTTTAAGACTAAAGAGATTAGTTGAGACGTGCTTAAGATAGCCCAAACATAAAAAAGAAAAAAAAAAATTGGTTATGAGTTTATGATTGATTAAGTAGAGTTAACTTGAGAATAAAGTATGAGAAAGAAAGAATTGAGTTGATATATTATTGACCCTTTTGCTAACCATCTGCAAATAAAAACGTGCACTCAAAATATTAATAACTGAACCGAATAAACATACTTTAATCCAAAGATTCTCAACCCCAAACACTGCCTAAAAGTCCACAACCAAACCTTAGTGGAAACATAAACGCCATTTCTCAAAGCAAACAAAAACTAATCAAAATCTTTCTCTTTTTTATCTTATATATATATATACTTACATGTATGTAAACCTTTCATTTCTTTCTCACCGATCTCTTTCATGGCTTCCACTTCCCACGCCACCACCTCCACCGTCGCCACCATGTCGCAACAGCCACCGCCAGCTTACCCCTCTGACTCAGCTTCACCCAACACAACTTTTGTCCAAGCCGACCCTTCAACGTTCAGGACAATAGTTCAGAAACTAACTGGCGCACCCGACGACCCCGCGGCCCCGAAGCTCCCTGTAACTCACCCAATCCACAACGTGGGTCCGAAAAGACCAGCATTCAAGCTCCATGAACGAAGACAAACAGCCAAAAAGCTCGAAATCAAACTCAACAACAAACCCAACAACAGTAGCGTTAACCCGAACGGGAACTACGAGCTCTGTTTCTTCAAGCAGCGTGGAAATTCTTTCCTTGTGTCGCCCGTTTCGACCCTGGAGTTTCTTTCGCGCGTGAGCCCGAGATCGCCGATGGAGGAGGTGCACGCGCGCGGCGGCAGTCCGAGGGAGCTGTGTGAGGAAGAAGAAGAGAGAGCCATTGCTGAGAAAGGATTTTACTTGCATCCGAGTCCATTGAGTACGCCGAGAGGAGCTGAGCCTGAACTTCTTCCACTGTTCCCGTTAAGTTCTCCAACAAGTAATGATGCTCATTGTTCTTCTAATTAGCTCATCATTAATTGAGATTAACTTAGATTATATTATAGCTTTAGTTACATTGGATTTGTTTTCTAATTTGTATTAATTGTATGTGGGGAGTTATATATTAATTAATTATCTTTTATTTTTCAACTTTGGTGTTCTTCTTTTTGAAGTTGTCTCCATTAACAGACTGAAAAATATGCAATGCTCAGTATCCTTGCCAAATCTCTGGTTGGAATTCTCTTATTCTATTGCCACGTGTATCCACGCGCTATTATTGCGTTTCTTTAGGGTTTATATTTCGACAACCTTTTCTTATTCGGTTAATTAGTTAACTTTCCCAAAACATTATTATTTATTTATTTTTATGATCCAGGTGTCGGAGTTAGATTATGCATATTTCCTAAATTCAAAAAAAATTATTAAAAATGTATAATTTTGTAATATTTCTTGGACCTTTTTTTTTCTTTTCAAGCAAGTAAATTAATTATTTTTTATATCCTAACTAATTGAGTGGCATTAATTAGGACATAGAAATTCCCTTTTAAAACTTTTGGTTTAATTCCAAAATAGTTATAAAAAAAAAACAATTTTGGAAAACTTTATATTAAAATTTTAAGGAATATTTATAACAATTTTGGAAAACATTTTAATACATATTATTCATGATTTGTTACGCGCGCTTACTGGCGCGTAGGCAGTTGTTGTGAAGTGTGATTTTCAGTTATTTTAATTAGGGTAAATAAAATGTGTTGATATTAAATACTATCCGTCCATCTTGATGTAAATCTTGGAAAAGGATTTTAAGAAAGGCATTTAATGGTGGAATTATAGATGGCAGCCGTTGGATTTAATGAAAGAGGAAGGAAGCGGCGCCTTTTTCTGACAATCCAACGGGCTAGATTCGTCCTTGTCTTATTTATTACAATCCACTTGCTCTGCTCCCTCAACGATTAAATTATTGTAATGTAAAAGTCATTGCTACAATCTACCTATTTTTATAATTCAAATTTTCAAATCAAATCCAATCTCCACCCTTCGTTACCACGTATTTCCGTGATCTTATCCAATCAATCTGAACCCTTGATTTGAAATAATGAAAATCATATAATTAGTTGATTTTTTAGATCTGAAGATGAAGATTTGTTTTAGCTTATGTTTTAGTGGCATGTATTAGGGATAAGATTATTATTATTATTATTTTTTATTAAGATGTTCGGGACAGTTTGCATACAACTCGAGTAATTTTTCGAAACTATTGAATAGTGAATATCCTACAAATCTAATAGATCAAGTAACTCGAGTAATTTTTCGAAACTATTGAATAGTGAATATCCTACAAATCTAATAGATCAAGTAAGTCACCAATGTAATAAGTGATTATTTGGTGAGACGAACACAAAACCTATGAGTAACTTACAGTCTTGTCATTTGGCACTTGATGTTTACCAAACCTCAGTACTGATTAGATGGCAAAAAAAGAAAAAAGACTCATTGATTTAATCCACTACAAGATAGGGAAAAATTAAGTGAAAAAAGGTAAGGGGACTATGCAGCTTTTCTGCTCGTTTTAAACACAGTTTTTGGGATGCTCGAGCATGCTGTTTACCAAAGCTCATAATTGATTAGACAGCGAAAAAAAGATTAAAAAAGACTCTTCAACTCACCCATTAAGGGAAAGATAATTGTTTATATTGATGAATAGAAAATGTATTCTTATGGGTTTTTGGTTTTTAAATAAAATTCATTGAAATAAATAATTTTTTTTTATGCATTTATGATCTTAATGTTTACCCTTCAATAATTTTTTTTATCCATTTATGATCTTAATGTTTACCCTTCAATAAAATTCACTGAAATAAATAACTTCTTTATCCATTTATAATCACATATTTTTATTTATCTTTTAATCAAAATTCATAGGATTCAAACATCCTTCAAATCAGTTGTCGTGTACATGATTTTAATTAAAAATTTTGAGATAATAAATTGAAAAAAATAGTATTACTTATTTTAAAATTTTGTTGTTACTTGAGGTTTTAATATGAATTTTCTTTAAGAATTTCAACTAATTTTACGCTGATGTATCAGAATTAAAAAGGAGCACTTAAAAAAAAAGAAAAAAGAAAAGAAAAAAGAATTTCAAGTCAGATATGTTAACTAAAAAGGAAAATGAAGAGAATATATAGTGGAAGTGGGTTGACTTACATTTTGTCGGAACAAGTAAAAAGTGTAAATTAAGCAAAGTCTTTGTTCAGCAATAAGGAATATAATGGCATGACATTTTATTTTATCAAAAGTTTATTCGGTGCTACAGCTTTTTTTTTTTTGGTTTGGCCACTATTGTAACAAGTCATATTTGTCCCGCAATTAGTTTTCATTTATTATAAATTTAAGACACATTGAAACCCTATTGTTTTCTTTTAGTTTAAATATAAAATAAAATTTAACTATGGTAGAAATGTAATAAATTAGAGATCAATTATATGGAATAAAAAACTGAAAGAGAAAGAAAAAGATGTTTTTTTTGCTAAACGGAGTGTTTGGGTTGGTTTGTATGCACTTTAACTAATTCTCGAGATCCATTGAACACTTTACAAGTCTAAAGGACCAGGTAAGATACATAAAAAGATGATTAACCAGCCTCTGGGTGGTCGAGTGGTTAGATAGAGACTTTTGGGTGTATTACTCAAGAGGTTTTGAATTCGAGTCTCTCCTCGGTTGCTAATAGGGGTGGGAACTGGAGCTCTTACTCAGCCGATAGTTACAAGGTCCTGAGAGATTAGTTGAGGTATATATTAGCTGATCCGAACACTCCCTATCATTAAAAAAAAAATGATTTAATTTGATATTAAGGTTAATTTTGGAACATAAACAAGAAATGAAGATGTTAATATGTATATATTTTTTTGGGTGTTGAAAAGAATAAATGCAATTGAATTGAATATATGCTGTTACCAAATGTAATGAGCAAAAGAAAGATATGCTAAGAATAAATCATTTTAAATATTCTTCTAAAATTAGATTTTTATCTTATGAGAGTCAAACCCAAACATCATTAATCACCGATTTTTAATTTATAAATTGAAGCCGTCGGATTAAAATTAATAAAATCCTTTTTGGATTCTTGAAAGCAATAAGCCAATATATGGTGGACAACATCATTTCTAAGTAGGCTTATGTAAAGAAAATGTTTAGTGGACTTTGAACAAACTTATTTAATTGTTTATTCATAATGGGGACTTACTAAAACACCCCTCATTTTAGTTTTTCATAATTTAATGACATAAAAACATTAATACTACGGACACTAAATTTGTGCACCCACATTTTTTACCAAACGACGTGACATCCACTAAGATGCGGCCACGTTGGACAGAAAATACCTATTTCGTGAATGGATGCCAGTCCATCTCATTTGGATGCTATGGATAACCATCCAAATGAGATTGATTGATGTCCATACTTTGTACTTTAAAAATCAAAGTTTTTTTTTTCCCCTTCATTTCATTTAAAAATTTTGAGCTTTAAAAATGGATATTTCATCCAAAAAATTTGATGTTTATTTGTAGAAGCGTCTTAGACAAACTATAGGTTTTTATAAATGAAAAAGAAATTGTAAATTTACAAAAAAAAAAATTATTTGAGTATAAATTATATGGACAACCGTCCATATAATGTGGACGGCCATCCATAGTAAAGGAACTCCCGTCCATATATATGGATGAGAGTCTATTATATTTTCTGGACTCTCGTCCATTCTTGATAAACAGTCGTCCATAAGATATGGACGAGCCTCCATAATTGTTGAACAATTGTTCATTTACTAAATACCTGTGTTGTATCCTACGTGACAATGTTTGAGTCAGATGCGACATAGATCGATGTAAAATTTTGATACCAATATTCGGTGTCCGTAGCATTTTTGGACATAAAAAGGTGATGCAAACCGATTGGAATTAATGGGCTTAAAATACATAGTGGTTAAGTGCTTTGTCTGACACAAATTACAGCCCAACAACAAGGGAAGTGGACTGTCTCACATACTAGATAATTAAATGGCTTATAAATTATTTTTTCTCTTCATTTATTTGTTTTCAAGTAGTCCAACCCCATTTTCTAACCAACTTAGTTAAAAGTATTGTTTTAAAACCCAGCCCGGCCCGGCCAGTTGAACCAGTTCAACTGGGACCCGAAAGCTTCAACGGGCCAAGTTTATACTTTTCCTATTCACCCAAAACCCTAGAATTTGGGTGGATGATCGACGAGCAATTGACCATCAGAACCTTAGGGCTTTTAAAGATAAAGTGCCGGTGAATGTAATGGTGGTGACATCGTTGATCTTCGGTGAGTAAATCGACCGGAAATCGAACAAATATGGCAGCAGCAACGATGGGATTTCGCCAGCGATTGAAGAGGCTAACGGGGGTGGGGTGAGGTGGGTTTTGGTCGGGAGGAGGAGGGGAGTGATTCCTGGGTGATGGGATGGGTTTTCGTCGTCGGCGTGGATGAGATCTGGCCTGGAATACCCGCGCCGGCGTGGATGAGATCTGGCCGAAATTGAACCTATTTTGGCCAGATCTTAGATAGATTTTAGTGGAAATGAGCTCAGGGGATGATTGAGTTGCATCTAGGGTGTCGCCGCCGCCAATCCATCGCCGGTCAATTTGCATTTAGGATGTGTTTGATAGAGTTCAAACATATAGGGACTTATATGTAATTTTTAGGAATATCTTTGCTGAATTTAAATTTTTTTGTCAAACGGTCAACCCGGGACCCAGAAACTTTGCCGGGTTGCATCTCGGGCTGGATTTTAAAACATTGGTCAAAAGGCTTGCAAATGAGCCGAGCTACTCAGGCTCCTGTAGCTCACATGTCGAGTCGAGTTGAGCCGAGTTTGAGTTTAATAATACTCGATTTAAGCAGACGAGTTTACCCGAGCTTGACATATTATATAATATTTTAATTTTATATTAATATAATATATATAAATTAAAATAATTAATTATTAAATATTTCAAACCCCAATCCTAATTCACATTTCACATTTCATTTTCTAACCCTAAACTCATTGTCGATCATCCTCTGAACTCTGATCCTCCTTGGTCGTC